GCTGCCGCGGGGGCTGCTCGCTGCATCGGTGTCAGGCAGATGTTCCGTTTCGCTTAACCTGGAGGGAGCAGATAGCAACAGGTCATGAGGGGCGGGGCGGGACGGGCGGGAAGCTTCTGGAAGGGGCCTCGCTCACCTTGCAGAGCCGATTCCTGAGTCGGTGGTGTAGTGGTTCTGAATGCAGCATATTCTCGAGTCAGAGCTAGAAGGACTTGAAGAAGTCCGGTTTCCAAGGCCCAGGCATGAGCTGGGTAGCACCATTTCTGTGGGCAGGGAGCGGGTGAACAAAGGTCTCGGGGCCCCACCCCCCCGCACTCTGTGGGTGGCGGGGGCCCCTCACCTTGTCGTCTTGAGGGTTCTAGAGGTCCAGAGAGCAGCGGCCGTGCAGTGGCTCCTTCGGGAAAGCGAAAGGACAGAGCCCCGCGGTGCCAGCCGAGGGTGTTCTGCGGGGCGGGAAGCTGGTCAGAGGGACTGCACGCCCTCGGCCGGCCCGGGGCGCCCTGCCGTGTACCTGCACTCACCGGGAAGGCCGGACAGCGTCACCCCTGTCCTCACCGTCACGCCAGACCATGTCATGTCCCTCTCCGCACGTCCTGGCGTCCGGCCTTCAGTGGCTGGCAGGCATGTCCACCCCGACTGGAGACCTGGCTGGGGGAGAACAGAGAACACCCTGGTTAGGTAGAGGGCGGCGGCTGCGGGCGGGGCCAGGCTGGCCAGAGCACTGGACACTCACCTGGTCTCTAATCCGAGCACAGAGGCACCGATCCCTGCTCCGTCACCGCCCGCGCTGGCCCGCCTTGGCCACGGGCTCCGGAGGCCAGTGCCCCGCCTCGTTGCCGCCAGCTTGCAGCTCCTCACCCCTGCCTGCGCCCAACTCCCCCCCCAGTTCTCACTCACTCTGCCCCGCCCGCCTCGCCTAATCTGGTCTCGCCTGTGCCCTTGACTCCCCTGGATGCTGTGCTGTCTATCACACCAGTCCCAGCGGCCGTGCGGGGAGGGCGTACGGTGTCACCTGGACGCCGCGCCTTCTCCGCACGGCCGATGGGCCGCAGTGCCACGTGGGAGCGGCGCATCCTCAGGCTGGGCCCACGGCAGCCTCCTTGCTGCGGAAATCTCTGGAGCCCAGGACCTGAGGCCGCCGCCGCCTCCAGGTGGTGCCCTGCTGCGGGTCGCCCCGCGCACTGCGCCTTCTGTCCCGCTCTCCTGCCCTCGAGGCTCCACACGGGCCCGGTGGGGGGGCCCGGCTGGAGCCGCTCCTGTACCTGCTGCTAAGTGAATTGCGGTGGGTGGGAAGTGGTGGCGGCTGGTGGACCCTGCTGTGTCCCGAGTCCCCATCTCATCCTGTGTGACCCGGGCCTGGAATGCCCCCGCAGATGTTGGATTTCTGCGGCCACCTGTGCCTCCCTCACTGGCAGCCCTGCCTCGTGCCCTGCCCTGCCATCTGAGAGTGCTCTTTCCACCTGGGACGAGCTCATGGCCCCCCAGCTTGCTCAGTCTCAGCTCCCCCTGAGACGATGTCACCTGTGCTGACCGCTCTGCCTTCGTCCTGTCGCTCTGCCGGGAGATGAGCCCCTTCTCCTCGCCGGTCCTTGCTCCCCAAACCTCCTTTTAGCAGAAGGCCAGGGGAGCAAGGCCCGGGAGAAGAAGGGGACTCACCTGGCCCGGCAGACCGCTGTCCACTTGCCCGTGGCTGCCAGCTACTCCGCCACTGCCCCAGGCCCGGGCGAACCCTTCTCCAGTCCCCCTTGTCCACCAGCCGCCACGTCCTGAAACCAAAATTGACCGGGATGAATGTCTGGCTCCCCCTTCTTCCTTCCGTACCCCCAGCTCGGGCCCGTCACACTCCACACAGATGTCGCCCTGCTTCCAGAACACCTGGGAGCCCACGCCACACTCCGTCCACGCTCCCAGGCTCCCGCCCGCCCAGCCCGAGCCGTCCCGTCCACCCTTTGCCACTCCTGCCAGACTCCAGATTTCCAAGGTGATCCTTGGCCCACGCAAGCTTCCCTGAACCCCTGTACCCCATCTTCCCCCGGTTTCCCCCGCACCCCAGCTTCCCTGGTTACCCCTCGGCTCCCCCACTTCCCCAGTTTCCCCCGGGCTCCCCCATCCTGTCCCCCACCCCCACCCACGCCCTGCTCCCCGGCCCTAGCCCGGGCTTTTTCTAACTGGGGTGGCCCCGCCCAGAATTCCCGCCCATGCTCTGCCAGCCAATCAGCACGGGGACCGTGCTTGGGACCACCGCCAGGCCCACCTCCGACTGGGACGGTCCAGCGCACGTTCCTCACCCCATCCAGAATTCTCCAAAGACCGCCTTCCCCGCACCCCTCCTTTGGCAGCCCGTAAACAGGGCCTGGCATTGTTCCCGAACATCCCCCCTCCCTCTGGTTGGAACAGTGGGGTCCCCTCAGGGCAGACCACGCACGCTGCTCCCGCCCGCCTGGACTAGGTGCGCACTGCGCCCGGGGGTGGGGTCCTGGCTGGGTCTAAGGTCTCGGGCAGCACCAGGAGTCGCCTTTGTCAACTCCGTGGCTGAGAGCACATTTCCACCCCAGGGCTGCGGGGTCCACGGGAGGCGGCTGTGTGGGGTGTGTGGGTTGGGGGTCTGCTCGGGCTGGCCGAGGGAAGTGCCCCGCATCTCCACGGGCCAGAGTGGATGGCCAGTTCCCAGCTTGAGTGCTGACCGGTAGGCGGTGGCCGTTGGCGGCCACAGCTGTTTCCACAGGGCAGGCTCCTCATTGTTGCCGGGGCACCCTGGGTCCCCCAACCACCGTGGTCCCCGTAATCTGAACGCAGGAAGCTGGCCGCGTTCCGTAGCTCGCGGGCGCACTCTTATGACTTCCCCGTGCAGCCTCACGGCTCTGTCCCCCCTCCCCGGAGCCGCCTGCCTGAGGCTCCGTGACCCGGGAACAGAACAAAGACCTGAGAGCTAAGAGGTTCCCCCTGTGCTCATGACTACCCCGTCCCTCGGTGACCTACTCAGCCTTATTAGGGGAGGCTTGGGTCCTGAGGTTTGTATGATTTGTCCCCAAGTCTAGGGTGTTGGCATCGTGGGGAGTGTCACGCCTAGGCAAGGGACCGAGAGTTCGGCAGGACTGGGGCACCTCGAAAGGGCCTCAGGCAGCCCCTCTGCTCCATGGACCCCACCATGAACTGTGGGGTGACACCTAGCTAAATCGACACCCAGTCTTTGACATGGGCGAATCCATGATTTCCTCTGGAAAACTCCAGACTTAACCTGGGTGGCCCCCCAAATTAGTATGAGGCACCCCCATATTGGCCATAAGCAGCCCCCAGCCTCAGCGCCGCAGGCGGGGTGGTGACGTGTGAATCAGGGCTGCCACCTCGCGGCCGCGACTGTCTCCGCATCCAGAACCGATCGGTCGTGTTCAGGGCTGCGATCGGCTCCGGGATCAGCGCCTAATATAAGGGGGAGGACCCCCAAATGCCCCTGTGCTCAGCAAGGCAGCTCCCAAGGCCCTGTGATACTGGAGGCCTTGAGGGAAAGGTCGCCGTCTGAGGCCGAGTGCCGCGTCATCCAAGGATCGGGACCCTTGGTGCCCCAAGTGTTCCCTCATCTTCCCAGCTTCACCGGTAAAGTCTGAGGTGACTCAGTTAGAGTGGCTCAGACGAGCGCCCTGTCTCCCTGATGCAGCTCACGGTCCACTGCGGTATCAGGTCAGGGTGGACCCGGGACGTCGACGGGCGAACCTGGGACATGGGGTGGACAGACCCGCGAGTGACAGGGACATTGCTCGGGTAGATTCGGGACGTTGACGAGCAAACCGGGGACTTGGGCGGGCAGACCCGGGACGTTGCGCGGGCGAACCGTCGGCCGCCTCGGGCGGTGACGTGCGATTCCGCACTGCCACCTCGCGGACACTGCTGTCTCTAAGACCACAACAGACTCGGCACCATTGAGGGGTACGGAGGACCTGAGGAGATCAGTCCAAGACCAATGGGGTGATGACCCCAAAATATTCTCACTCGGCAAAGCAGCCCCCAGGACCCGGTGCTTCCGCAGCCTAGCGTGGTAGGTTCCCGCTTGAGCTTGGGCTCCCTGTCACTCAGGCTCCCTGCCAGGTCCTCATCACCCCAGAACACAGAGCCCTTAGATTCCCAGGACCACTTCATCTTTCTGGCCTTGGCGACACGGGGACATAATCCTGGGGTGCGGTTGGGATTCCACTCCCAGCAGCGTGTGGGCTCCAGGGCGGACCCAGACACTCGGGTCACGAAATGCACCTTCACAGCACTGACACCAGAT